AGGTTCATCCTACGCATGACGCTTTGGAAGGGACCGAACTGCTTCTTCACTAGGAAGCAACACTTGTTCTCCAGACCAATTACGCGAGGCGTGGTGTCGTCGTCCTGGGCGACGCTGTCTCAGGTTGTCTCTCCGACCTCGACGCCTGTCATCGGATCTTTGTCCCAACTACCGCAACATTTCCTTGATATACCATTGCCGCCAATGCATAGTCTTTATGTTTTTAGTTCATCCGATTGACATAAAGTCGACCGCCAATGTAAACTTTTTGCTCCATTAGACCTATGTCTATGACCAGTATTTTGGACTTCACTTATGTAAACCTTATGAATAACCTTAATAACCACCTTTTCAAAGGGAGTGTTTTACATTGATAAGTAAATGGGCGTCTTGACACACGGTGTGACGGTCGTCGCGACGTCGTACAGACACTCGCTCTCTCTACGCACAGACAACTCCCGGGCGGGGGGCGTGCGTTTACTCTCTCCTCTAGAGAAAATTTTATATAGCTTTCAATCTTTGCCTCTACCAATCTATTTTACACGCTTCTATTGCAAATACATCGTAAAGAATATAACAGCTTAATACTGTACAGTATTGCCCTAGTTTAGTTTCACCTTACCCGGACGACGACGACTTACGTACCCCGTTCACTGACCTTTTTCAAAATTTTCAATAATGTAGCAAAAGTTTATTATTACTTATTAAGTAAGATAAATCCCCGCGGAAAGTTTTCGTGGGTTTCCTGTGGAATGTTAAGTATTTAGTAAGTTCCTTTACAAAATTCTGTCATGTTTCTTACGCTCAGGCCCACTACTAAAAAAATACACCCACGTCAGGTCTTACTCTCTCGACAGGTCTTTACTGTGGTTCTACAACACAAACTCAAGAACTATTCGGTAATCTTGTCATTGTATTCACAGAGGACAAGTGGTTTGTATGGGTAGACAATACCTTTTTATTTCGTAAGATTTTTCATTAGACTTATGCAAAAATTCTGTGCATTGACATTGACATAAGACTATGAAAGGGCGAGACGGTGACGATTGGAGGAGGACAGGGAGGGCGTGGGGCCTGGTTGGAGGTTCAGAACCCCGCCTGTCTTGTCTCGGAAGAGGCAACGACGTGGGTGGGGAGACCTTGAGTGATGGGGTTAGTAGTCTCTAAGAAGGAGGAGTGTCGTAAGTTTTTAGTTCGAGGTTTTGGGTTGGACAAAGTTGTGACGTAAGGTGGTGACTGGGGGGGGGGAGTGGGGGATAAAAGACAAAACAATAGAGAAAATAAACATACCAGAAAAAAACAACAGAAAAGATTAAGAGACAGTTTCGAGAAACTCAGAAGCTTCGCGATATTTTCAGGGTACATAATAATATAAATAATAATGAAAGTGTTTAAAGCCCGGCGCTTTTCACAGATAACCTATTGTAAAACCGGGAACCTGTTTACATCAACCACTAGGGACCCACCATACCACAACGTTTGCATTGGTATTCTTTTATTCAACGTTATATCATCGCAGTTTTATATTGCTAATATTTTTCTTTTACTTAAAAATTCATTGATACTTCGTAATTTTTTCTCGAATTCTGTTCATAAATGTAGTGACATTGAAATTTTTTCCTTGAATTTTGTGAAATCATATTACTATAATGACTAGTTTGACGTCCACTAATATTAAACCTTTTCCTCCAACAAAAAAAATCGAGTACGACGGAAAAAACTGACGGTACGGTGAACATGACTTCTGTCTCTACAGCTGCGACACGCCTGATGATTTCTTAAAGAAAACCTGTCTTTACACACGTCTTTCACGTTTTTTATGAAAATCTCTCTACTTGTCCGCACGATCGACTCAATACGAAACGTGTCATTTCTGGAAAGGATTCGTAATTTGTCGTCTTCAACTCCGGCGAGTTCACCAGAGATAGAGCGCCGGGGACCTCCGGGAACCGGAGCGAGAGTACTAGTTTACCCCGGCAACCTGCCTCTCTGTTGGACTCTGATACTGCACCTTACTCACGAGACGTTGTAAAAAAAGAAATGGGTGGGGGGCAAACGCAGTAACCACTCCGCCAACTCCACAGTCACCCCCGTCGTGCGGGCCGGATGAGAATGTCTGGCGGGCCGGATGTGACCCGCGGGCCGCCAGTTGGTGGTCACTGCCATACACCAAAGCAGATCCCTGGTGTGTGTAAACGTACCTGGCAATAAACTTCATTTTGGCTCTGATAAAGGCTCACAGAATACCACAGCAAACGGCAGAAGTTTACTTAAAAGCTGTCCAAACTCCATAATGATCACAGTAGATATTTCCCATTTCTCAAAATCGTTTCTCTTTGCCTTTCAGGATCAATGTGCAACATCAACATCGATGAGTGTGCCATTAACCCGTGTCACAACGGGGGCACGTGTGTAGACGGCACCGACAGCTTCACCTGCCTGTGTCCGGAGGGCTACAACGATCCCACCTGCTTGTCCCAGGTGGACGAGTGTGGCAGCAACCCCTGCATCCATGGACACTGCCAGGACCTCGTCAACGGGTGAGCACCGAACACATCTCAATTAGGACACGAGTGCTATTACCCCGGACATTCAGAACTTTCATCATTCTAGAAATATTAACCATAATTCATCAACAATGTACTATAGCAGTTTGGGTACAGCGTCTTATAAGGTAACATTTAATATTACACATCCAAGATAGCATTACCATTATAGCGTCAGGTTTCAGCAATGCATACAGCATTCTCTAGTTATCCTTCTCCATGACCGTTATCTCTAATACTCTAGATGGATCAAATATCACTACAGGCAAGAGGAGAAGTATCTCTTTGGATTTAGTGGTAAACTGTTCCTTAAAAGATGTATAAGCAGCTTAAAGTGACACAAACAATCCTAAAAAAGCAACATGATTTACCTGATATATCCTTGGCATTACAGCTACAAATGTACCTGTGACTCTGGCTGGAGCGGGCCCAACTGTGACATCAACAACAACGAGTGTGAGTCCAACCCGTGTATGAACGGGGGGACCTGCAAGGACATGACCAGTGGGTACCACTGCACCTGCAGGGCAGGCTTCACTGGTCAGTGACAACTCATCATTTCACCATTCCTTCATTGAGTGTGTCTCCTGTGAGCCTACATCTAACAGTGTGTTCTCTAATCTGTAGGACCTAACTGCCAGACTAACATCAACGAGTGTGCCTCCAACCCCTGCCTGAACCAGGGCTCCTGCATCGACGACGTGGCCGGATATAAGTGCAACTGTCTGCTGCCCTACACCGGTACGACATGTGGCTGCTCATCTTTCACACTATCAACAGGTTGATTTACTTAGCTGTTTGCACAGGTCTGAAAATGTAAAGACAGTCTTCCGGCTTCCACGCAGAAGGCTTATCATTGTGTTGTTTGAGAAAACACCACACAAACAGTGAGGTCTGTTTCTGGCATCCCTGTGTGGAAAGATCTGCTATGTAGGAATAACAGAAGGTGTGTGTGTGTGTGTGTGTGTGTGTGTGTGTGTGTGTGTGTGTGTGTGTGTGTGTGTGTGTCTGTGAGTTTTGTGTGTGTGTGTGTGTGTGTGTGTGTGTGTGTGTGTGTGTGTGTGTGTGTGTGTGTGTGTGTGTCTGTGTGTGTGTGTGTGTGTGTGTGTGTGTGTGTGTGTGTGTGTGTGTGTGTGTGTTAGAATAACATGCCACAGCGGCTAATATAAGCCGGATAACTGGTGCCTACTCCAGGCCCTATTCCCACTTCCGCCACGTCCTGTTTCCTGTCTGTGATCACACAATAGCAGGAAACAGGAAGGCCCTTCCTGTTTGGCTAAGTTGTCATGGAAATTGATATGGAAGTGGGATAGAAAATGGGATTTAGAAATGTATGTCACTCCTCCTGTAATCTTTTTCAGGGACTTTTATTCATTTATTCTACGACTTTTAAATATTGAAGTATGAAGAAGTTGCTCCATATATCCAGCGCCCTGCAATCACTGATGTGTTTCCCCTGCTAACAGGTGATAACTGTGAGACCCTGCTGGCGCCCTGCAGCCCAAGACCCTGTAAAAACGGGGGTGTTTGTAAAGAGTCTGAAGATTACCAAAGCTTCTCCTGCATCTGCCCCGAAGGATGGCAAGGTATCTATCATTTCTACCTTCAAATGTATATAAGAAGTGGACAAAGTCACTTTGTTGTCCTATTCATCTGTGGACCTTGGTTTTTACGTCTTCAATTTGGCTACTTTTTTTTAAACTATCTTTTCCATCCTATTAAGGTCAAACATGTGAGATAGATATCAACGAATGTGTGAAGAGCCCGTGCCGCAACGGTGCTATGTGCCATAACACCATGGGGGGCTACCAGTGCAAGTGCCAGCCAGGTTACACCGGCCAGAAGTGTGAGACCGACACTGACGACTGCAAACCAAGTAAGGAACAGATGCAAGTTCCCAATTTCTCAACCTAAAAACTAGAGAATGGTTATTTATTGTATCCCCTCTCCCTGTGTTTCAGACCCCTGCAGTAACGGAGGTCTGTGCCGTGACAGTATCAACTCTTTCACCTGCACATGTCTGCCCGGGTTTCGTGGCGGCCGATGTGAGCAGGACATAAACGAGTGTGAGAGTAACCCCTGTAGGAACGGGGCAAACTGCACTGATTGTGTGAACAGCTACACCTGCACCTGCCGGCCGGGCTTCAGCGGTATCAACTGTGAGATCAACACCAACGACTGCACCGACAGGTAGCTCACTCTTTAGAAATATTCTCTCCACTTATTTAACCAGCATGTCTTATGAGGGTTTAACATGTTGTCCTTGTGTCTCTTCAGCTCCTGCTTTAACGGGGGCACCTGTGTGGACGGCATCAATGCGTTCACCTGCCTGTGTCTGCCTGGGTTCACCAGCAGCTACTGCCAGTATGACATCAACGAGTGTGACTCCAAGCCGTGCCTCAATGGGGGGTCCTGCCTGGACAGTTACGGCACATACAAGTGCACCTGTCCTCATGGCTACACAGGAATCAACTGTCAGGTGAGAATCACAATAATAATAATAGCTTTTTGTAGTGCTTTTTAATACTTAAAGAGACTTTTCAATTTAAAAACATTTCATACAAGCATACAAACAAACATGCCTAAAAAAAGAAAAAAAACAAGATGCGATGAAATGGATAAAAAAAGAAAAAAAAACTAGGACAGAGAGTAGTTCAAGCTAGCAGTCATTTTTCTTTTAGGAAATATTGTTTAGTTGTTACCATCTTTGAACACTCAAGTAAAAAGCTGCCACACAGATCTTCAGGACAGAAAGGAATAATCTCAATTTCACCATTTTCATTGTCAAAAAAAGATGATTACGTTTTGGCCACCACGTGAGAATAAATTGGCGAACATCTGTGTGGGTGCTTCATTTTAGCCTTTGAGTGTTCAACTTTGCAACTGAACCACGGGGAAGGGGCTTCCTCTCAGAGACCTAACTATTATTTCCTTAGAATCTGGTGCGCTGGTGTGATTCGTCCCCCTGTAAAAACGGAGGAACATGCTGGCAGCAGGGGGCCTCGTACACCTGCCAGTGTCAGACTGGGTGGACCGGTCTCTACTGTGACATTCCCAGTGTGTCCTGTGAGGTCGCAGCCAAACAGCAAGGTAAGAGGACCTGCCTAAAGTTATGATCCCTCACGTGATAAAGCTTTTTATATCTACAAGTTTCGTGTGAGATTTGTCTATTTTGTATCTCCTTCCTATCTGTTTTCAGGGGTGGAGGTTGCTCACCTATGCAGGAACTCAGGCCAGTGTCTGGATGCTGGAAACACTCACTACTGTCGCTGCCAGGCCGGGTACACCGGGAGCTACTGCCAGGAGCAGGTGGACGAGTGCTCCCCCAAACCCTGCCAGAACGGAGCGGCATGCACCGATTACCTGGGAGGCTACAGCTGTGAGGTGAGTTCAAATGAGACCAGGTTAAATAAATAATAATAATAATCCTAACATCTGATTATATTTGATAAAAAAGTGAAGTAATGAGTTAAATGCTTGCACGATATCATCCCAGCTGGAAGGTGCTGAGATGCTTGAAAAGTGCTGGAATTGGAATAGAAAAAGTTTAGGAACCCTGAAAAACATTTCCTATAATGGTGGACTTATTTCCCTCAGTGTCTACCTGGATATCATGGTGTAAACTGCTCCAAAGAGATCAATGAGTGTCAGTCGCAGCCCTGTCAGAATGGAGGCACGTGCATCGACCTGATCAACACGTACAAGTGCTCCTGCCCCCGAGGAACACAAGGTACACAGCTGCACCACACATCCACAGGCATACATTGGCAAAAAGTCCCCAAAATACAATTGAATTTCTACCTTCCTCTCTCCTGTAGGCGTGCACTGTGAGATGAATCTGGATGACTGCACCCCCTCCAGCGACCCCCTGACCAACGAGCCAAAGTGCTTCAACAACGGGAAGTGTGTGGACCGCATCGGAGGCTATCAGTGTGTGTGTCCAGCGGGATATGTAGGAGAGCGCTGCGAAGGCGACGTCAACGAGTGTCTGTCGGACCCCTGCGACCCCCAAGGCTCCTACAACTGCGTCCAGCTCACCAACAGCTACCGTTGCGAGTGCCGCACGGGATACACAGGTATGAAGAGAACTGCAGCAGGATCCCTGTGTGGGAATGGTGTACAGGTGTTCAAACATATATGTTCTGTTCTCCAGGTCAGCGCTGTGACAAAGTGTTTGACGGCTGTAAAGGAAAACCCTGCAAAAATGGAGGGTCTTGTGCTGTTGCCAGTAACACACCTCACGGCTTCATCTGCAAATGTCCTCCTGTGAGTACAACTTAATACACTTTACAGATGTATCTCAAGAAATAATATTATACACTTGTATTGATTTTATTGCGATTTTATTATTTATTATCTGGGCAATAATTGGAATTATTTATAATCCATAATTCCATTTTCATGTAAAAATCGCAGAGCAAAAGTTAGCTGCTAATGGTAGCCACCAGAGTGGCTGCTGCTTCCGGTCTTGGCAATGCGGCAGCCTAACACACACACATGACCAAATAAGGACTATGTGGGAGTTCCCCTCGATTCCATTGGCTCTGACGGTTAGAAAGAGATGTCACATGTCAAAATCCAGCAGGGGGAGCCAGAAGCTGTGTCCCAATTCAGAGGCTGGGTCCTCCTGAGGAGGAGGACCCAAAAAATGCTCTTCACTTATTTAACCCTTTTTTCTCAACCTTTCCCTCTACCAGCCAAGGCCCCTGTATTGCAGGATCAATTTAAGTG